GAATGTGAAGAATTTCAAATGGAGTGTGATCCCACCTCATTTGAAGAAGCTATGAGAAGCGCTCACTCGTCAAAGTGGTTTGAAGCCATGCAAGATGAAATGAAATCAATGAGTACCAACGGTGTTTGGGACTTAGAAAGAATTCCTAAAGAAACTAAGACGGTAGGCTGTAAATAGGTCTACAAAACTAAATATGACTCCAAAGGGAATATGGAAATATTTAAAGCGTGACTTGTGGCGAAAGGCTTTACGCAAAGAGAAGGAATAGATTATAATGAGACATTTTCTCCAGTCTCATGCAAGGATTCTTTTAGAATCATAATGGCATTAGTGGCACATTACGATTTAGAATTACATCAGATGGATGTAAAGACGACCTTCCTTAACGGGGATTTAGATGAGAATGTCTACATGGCACAACCAAAAGGTTTTATTATGAAAGGAAAAGAATATATGGGATATAGCCTGAAGAAATCCATTTACGAATTAAAACAAGCCTCTAGACAGTGGTATTTAAAGTTTGATGGAACAATAAGGAAGTTTGGGTTTAAAGAGAATGTGGAGGACAATTGTGTTTATACAAAGTTCAAGAATGGGAAATTCATTTTCCTAATCCTGTATGTGGATGACATCTTACTCGTCAGTAGTGATGTTAATGTACTACTGGAGACAAAGAAGTTCTTGTCTTCAAATTTTGACATGAAAGATCTCGGTGAAGCTTCGTTCGTTTTAGGAATAGAGATTCACCGAGATAGAAGAAAGGGGTTTTAGGATTATCGCAAAAGGCATACTTAGAAAAGGTTCTAAAGAAATATAGTATACATACGTGTAAGCCTTCACCTGCTCCTATAGTCAAGGTTAATAGGTTTGGGGAATTCCAATGCCCTAGGAACCAATATGAGATCGATCGAATGAAAGCGGTTCCATATGTTTCGGCTGTCGAAAGCTTGTAGTATGCTCAAGTATGCACACGCTCTGACTTAGCTTTTGTTACTGGGATATTTGGCAGATATCAGAGTAATCTAGGAATAGAACACTGAAGAATGGTGAAGAAAGCTTTGCGTTATGTGCAAGGCACAAAAGGCCTCATGCTAACGTACAGAAGATCTGATTCCCTACATTTAGAGGGGTATTCGGATTCAAATTTTACGGGAGATGTAGATGATATAAAATCCACATCAGGGTATGTATTTACTCTCGCAGGAGGAGCTATATCGTGGAAAAGCTCCAAGCAAACCGTCACTGCATCGTCCACGATGTATGCCGAGTTTATAGTTTGTTATGAGGCCATGGGGCAGGTGAACTGGCTAAAGAAATTTATGCCTGGGTTGAAAGTGGTTGATGACATCTATAGACCACTCAAGTTATACTGCGACAATGAACCAACAGTAACTTATGCTCACAACAATAGCTCAAGTAATGCTGCCAAGTACATTGACACAAAGTTCTATGTTGTGAAAGACAAAGTCCTGGATCATGCTATTAGTCTTGAGCATGTAAGGACAAAGAAGATGCTTGCGGATCCACTTACAAAAGGTTACCACCAAATGTGTTCAGAGAACACTTAGCCGGCATGAGTTTAAGGGAAAACCTATGATTCCTGGACAATAAGGGCCTAGATGAGAATCTGTTTTAAAACAGAGAGGTGTGTTGTAGCTGTTAATCCAATGGTACTAACTGTTGTGATGAGGCACGCTCTATGCGCTAATCTGTGATGGAATGGGAAAAAGAGATAAGTATTTAAGTTTAAGTCATAAGGTGAGATCAATGGGGAGAATGTTAGGTTGATCTCCACTAAGTTGGCCCAACGACCAATTTGGGCCTTTGATCCGTGCCCTGATCGGGGGCGCCCAACCCCATTATGGTTGGTGGCCCCCCGCTGCGCAGCGCTATAAAGAAGAAGGTGGGGGTCGGAGCACTGGGTACGAGGTTCACCGCAGCAAACCCCACCTACATTCCTAACCCTAATCCGATCTTAGAGGGTAGCGCTGAAGCGACGGAAGCTCCGCCACCACATCGTAGGGCCGCCACCGCCACGAGAGTTGCACCGCGGACGTCCACGCCTCTCCTACGACTGCTGCTCCCGCGTCACCCCTTCACCGACACCTGGCGCCATCGACACCGGCGACATGGCGAGCTCTTTCGCCAAGCCCACCAATGGTTGGTAACATCTCCCCACTCTCATCCTCTCTCTAGTTTTAAATAGGTTGATCTATGTGTTCTATACCTGCCTAGATAATCCACTGAGTCTATCATGTACGTCATCGTGTCTTTGAAAAACACTACTCCAACAGGAAAGTACGCCAATTTGGCCCATTTGTAGGAGTAGGTATGTTCTGAACAAAGCGTAGCAAAAGCGCGGTTTGTTTGCGCTTATATATTAGAGTAGAGTGCAGAATTCTGGGCCGGGGCTCAGCTTCAATTGGACGGATCGTCAGTCCGCAACAAACCGGAGCTGGCGCTGCTCGCACACATAGCACTCCACTCACTCCTCCCCACGTCACCCTAAGAATCTAGGATATACGACCAACTAGTAGCTAACAAAACGAAGCAAATCTTGCATAAACTACGCTAGCTCTGGGTGCAAAGTGCTGGGGGCCTGGGGTGTCACCTCACCTCCCTTTTGGCATCCCTTTCATGGTGTGCGTCACCGCTGGCGGGCTGCACTAGATAGTTGCGTCTGTGCAAGCAACATCCAGATCAGGATGGATAGGCCGACGGAATGAAACCGTTGGATGGAAACAGCGGTGACGGATAATGCGATTGCGAGAGCGGTGGTAGAGTAGAATACGCAGCAGGATTCGGCAATCATACGCGGCAGCAGCCGTCGTTGGATAGGAGGACTAGGACTAGCTAGGACACGGCGATTTCGGCGAGGCCGCCGTGCGTGAGCTATAAGGTCACTCACAGTCACAGGTGGCTGATGGCGACGGTGTCCAACCATGGGGGGATGCCGTGCCGGATCAAATTCAAAGACGCCTGCCCGCGGCCCACCTCGACTCCTGTCCTGCCTACGCTGTCACTCTGTAGTTTAGGCTTATTTTGCGTGGACCGGCCGGCCGTCTAGACCGATGATGCAAACGCAATGCGCGCGTGTTGCTTGTGGCCGTCGTATACCGCTCCGGTACGGTGGCCGATAATTGGTAGGAGTACTACTTTCTCTTGCTTGTTGATGCTATCCAATCCATCGATACCATCATCATGCACCTAACTAACTACTCCTATGTCATCATATGCTATGGATAAATGCTGCTTGTGGCTTACACCCTATTTTGACACCTATGGTTATAATAATCAGATTATGGTCCAAACAAAATTAATTATGTTTGAATTATTATAATCAAAATCTCTTAATACTATAATCTAATAATTCAGGATATACACAATTTTGGGCAAAGTCCAAATTGCACCCTCTCTCTTCCCCACCTTCTCCTCTCTTTGTCCGTCATCTTCTAAAGGGTAATACGGGAATTCCTCACTTTAATCAACCATAATGATCTAGGGATCCAAACACTCTCATTATTATAGTCCATAATCCTAACTATAATAATCACATGTATTATAACAATCCAGTTACGATCCAAATAGATCCTTACGACGATATTGCTCTCTCCTGTCTGGAATTGCGTGGAATTTGGTTTTCATGCCCAAGATGCAAGCACTTCGTTTCCGGCTGAAGAATCCAGCTCCCATATGAATCTAGTCTAATTAGTGCTAACTCGCAGAGCCACGCATGACGAGTGCGGCCGGTGCGGGTGATGCCATGCTTAGTCCTCACACAGTATATATAATAACAAAATAACAAAAACAAAACGTGAAAAGTAGAACATGGAATTCTTTCGATCGTGTTCCTACGTTTCAGTGTTCCTCCTTAGTCCTCACACAGTTTTGTTACAAGAGCTAGCGACCAAGAATTCTCATTTTTCCTTTCCTTATTTTCAGCTTCTAGTTTTGTAGTCACAAGATATCCAACTTGGCAACCGACGGCGGGCGGAGATGGGTTTCATTACGGATCTCGCAAATACGATATTTCCTTATACAAGAATTTTGATAAATAACTTGTTTACTGATGGAATATAATAATAGAAGAAAAAAATAATAATCCCACACATCCCAAGATAATGGCCCGTTCGTTTGGATGAATTCTGGAGAAATCTGGATGAATCCGACTGGATGTTTCAAAAAAAGTGAGAAAGTCAACAAAGGACATGCGAATGAAAATCTCGGACATGTACCTTCTTCCTCCACCATGGCCTATACCTTAAGAAGTGTAACTCAGTAAGGGCCGTTTAGATAAAAAAAAATTTGGATTTTGCCAATCTTTCGGTTTGTATGTAACTTCCTTCCACCATGGCCTATACCTCCAAAGAAGTGTAACTCAGTAACTGATCCCACATCGAAGCTAGCCACCGGTAGCACCAGAGAGAGTGACACTGAGAGTCACTGACACCTGCTACGCCCCCTCCGTAGCAGTAGCACATCCAAGACATTTCTTGAGCTGACCATGTTAGGAACGTCCAGCCAAACAAACACGCCCCGAGTACCCGTGCAGCGACCTGCCTTTCTCACCTTATGGTCCTCATCCGTGTAGCTTTTGAAATGGATTTCAGATGATATACGATGGCCAAATGGTTTCCAAGAAACTTCACGCAGCTAGCGGATTAGCATAAATCTGGATTATTAGTAAACAAAATTTGACCTTATAACGGACGGACCCGCCTAAAGCCTGGCCCGTCTTCTCTTCCTCCTTTATAATAGAGCAGCAGCGTGCGCGACTGCAGGCAGTCCACAGGCTCTGGCACGACACGGTCCCCCACAACCACCCGGCCCAACGCCCCCAACGACCTCCGTCCTCCGCTCCGCCCAAAATACTCCCTCACTGCCCTGCTCCCTCCTCCCTCCCTGTTTCTCTGCTCGCCCCCTCGGCTCGGGCCTCGTCGGCGGACTCTCCTGCCTGCTCGTAGCGCTACTACTCTTTGTTTGGATCTCGGGGGCTCGGGATGGCGCCGTCCTCCTCGTCCTCGTCATCGTCGTCGGGCGGCTCCCACGCGGGCCTCGCCATCGCGGCCACCGCCATGGCGCTCTCCGGCACGCTCGTCCTCTACTCCCTGTGCCGCGCCAAGCAGCCGCGGCTGGTGCCCTCCGACTCCGACGCTGTCCCGGCTCCTCGGCTCCGGCCGTGCCTCTCCTCGTCCGGTAAGTGCGCGCCGTTCCTTCTTGGTTCCTTCCTCTGCCGCGGAGCCGGAGCGGCGTCCTACGCGTGCCCGCCCGGCCGTGCGCGTGCGTTACTTGCTGGATAGTCCTAACGGCGGGAGTTCCCGTGCGCGTCGCAGAGAAGCGGAAGAAGAAGAAGCGGGAGATGGCGCGGCGCGGGAGCCAGCAGAAGCGGGTGCGCTTCGCGGACGACGTCGTCGACAACAAGGACAATGGCGCCGCCGCCAGCACCGCCACCACGGCGCCGCGGGAGGAGGCCGCCGAGCCGTCGTGCGCCGCGGCGCTGAGGACGCCCATGCCGGCCAACCGGGAGGCGCTGTACCGCGGCATGCTCCGCGGCCGCATTATGCTCAGGGTCGCCTGTTCCTACTAGCTACCTAACCTAGGTAGCATCACCGCCCTGAGCATAGTGCGGCCCGGGGCCCCGACGTAACCACTCCATTAATTAATCTAGACCTCCGACTCCGTTCTGTGTGTACGTGCTGTGTGTGCTGCCAACTAGTGGCGCCGCTAATTAATCCGGCCTAGGCTAGCTCCCTCGCCCATTGCTGGGAAAGTTTTGTAATTAGTGGCCGTCCCGCGAGGGAGCTTATGATCCGTGCTGTGTTGCTTGCTTGTACTGGTAGCTTTCTTCCTTGTTTATTTTGTACATTAGTTACTCGACTCGACTCGGCCTGTTCGCGGGTTGTTTCTGCGCTGATAAGTCGGTCGTTGCTTTGGTTTATTGTGAGAGAAAAACATTGTTGGTTGGCTGATAAGCTTTGGCTGGAACTAACGAATGAACAGGCTGATTGTGAGTGATGATCAGTGAAACGATTCTTCACTGTTCAAAGCTTCCATCTTTCTTCCACATGACAACATGCTTGATCGTGAAATGATGATCAGTGAAACGATTCTTCACTGTTCAAAGCTTCCATCTTTCTTCCACATGTACAATCTCTTCGTCTCCCCCCCTCTCTCTCTCTCTTTTTAAAAAAATATGCTATTTTCTTGGTGAGCAGTCCCTTGGCCGATAGCTAGATCTTTTCGCCCGGACAGAGGAGGTGCCCTGCCGGAATTGGTTTCTCCGTCCGGCGCCTTGTCGCCGGGCACCGATCAGGCGTTGCTGTCGGGCACGGCTTTGCCTTTGTTTCCGTGGAGGCGATACCGCGGGTGGAGGTGGAGGTCCCGTGCGGACTCATGGCTGTGGTAGCTCGAGCGCGACCGCCGCGGGCGGCGGACGGGGCCGACTCGACCGCGATCGGAAGCGTACGCCAGTGACACGGCCCCGCCACCGGACCCCAGTCCAGCGTGTGGCGTGTCGGCCGTGACCCGTGAGCTGCTCAGCTGCGTCGCCGTCCGCCGCGGGAAGGAAGGCTCCGCCCAACAAGTGTCTCCTCCGACCCGGCCGACCGCCGGCCTGCTGACGCTTGACAGCCTGCTCGCTCCGTCGCTCGTGTGCAACTGCAGACACCCACCTGACCAAGTTGGCGATCGGAATGGCACGGACGGAGAGAAGGTGATTTAACGCTCCGAATTGGAGTTTCACAGTGCCTGGCACTGGTACACACACTCCATGATTTCTATCCTGTCGGCTGGCTCAAGCTCTCATCACGTCTGTCGTTGGTCTCGAGAAGTCGAGATCTGCGCCCCGTTCGTTTGGTATGTTGGACTAATAATCTATAGCTGAAAATACTATCGACTAATTTAGCGTGGAAAAAAATATTATTTATGAACTGATAAACCATGTCTTATAAACTAAACACAACAAAGCAAACAGGCTGCTGGTCCCCCTCCCACGCTCGTGCGCGCACGAAGTACGTAGTAGGTAGCTGGGCTCAGCAACGGCCCTGCATGCACTGGAGTCTGGAGTGCGTCTCGCTCTCGCATGGTCATGGTCCCCTGCCATGTGTTGCTCAACCAATGGCTGCAAGGTTTCGCGCCGTGATTGGATGGACGAGGATGACATGGAGTGTCATATTTTGGATCCAGAGCAAGATTCGTTATCCGCTCTTTATACTACAGTATTAGCATTATTAATTACTTCTACCATTATTACGAGTAGGAGTATTATACAAAGTGAAGCAATCATCAGGGCTGCATATTCTGCGATCGATGCATGCCGGATCGGCGATGTCATGGTGGGCATCCATGCGCGCGCGCGCAACGTTACGGTTACGGGTGGCGTAGAGGATCCGAGTTCGGCGATCATGAAGTGCGTCACGCCCAACAGATGGTTTTGGTCTGGGGGTATATATACTACGAAGGCTGGAATTTGATTAGTTGGATGAGGCAACCAAGCTTAACCTTTGGCGGGTGGGAGAGACTTCTAATTTGGGCACTGTTATCCATTCCTCAATACTAGTAGTATTTTTAGCATTGTTCGAAAGCAACCAAACAAAGCAACTGTATTCATTTGTTGTTATCCACCCTCCGCGGCTTTTGGGTCTTGGCAGTAAAGGTAAGCACAAAAATGCAAAATGCCATAATTAACATGTTGTTATCCACCCGTGAAAATGTTTTCCAAAATAGATCAACGGTCGACGTGAGATTTCATACATCACCGCATGCTTTCTACAGATGCAGCGTTTAAATAAAACAAAAAATAACAAAAACGAAATCTGCTGGACGAGGACCTCCGTTCTCATCGGTTCCTCATATATTCATATTCTACTCTACTGGGCTGCCTTGCTGTTGCCGTCATAAGAACCATCTGTGCTTATCTTTTTTCCAAAGAAAAAAACTCTGTGCTCTTGTGCTTCCAGGACTGAATTTGTTGCTGCCACCGTCAGATTCAGACCGCTCTCCTTCTCATGTGCTTTCCAGATTGCTTCATGCCTTCATCCTGCCAATCATTTTTGTCTCTTTTGCTTTCTCCCCAACCTCGTGATATATATATATATATATATATATATATATAAGACTAAATAAAGTCTGGTTCCTTGAGAACTTCCGGCACCTTCTCGATCAGCCTCAGCTTGTGTTTACTATACCACAATGACAAGACGAAAATATTACTCCTTCCGTTCAAAAAATTATTATGTAACGCTTAAGATTTGTCTCAGATTAAACATCTCTAATTTTGACTAAATACATAGAAAGAAAGTTAACATATGCAAGTTCAAATAAATACTCTATCAAGACATTTTCACATTTTATGAAGAATCTAGTCAAACTAATTTTCCTTGTGAATGTTGGTGTAATTTTTATATAATTTAGCTAAGAGTCTTAAAGGTATGACTTAGGATAGAACTAAAATCACCATTAATTTAAAATGAGCGAGCTTTTTTTAAATAGACCAATATAAGAATCACTTGAGAACGGCGCTTAAAAATGGCCCAATTTGCAAAGCATGGTGCGGCCCAAAAAAAACTGAGGCCCAATTGTCAAATGAAACAGGAAAGGAAAGCTGGTCCATTTCAATTATTCGGCGTAAACAAGATTAAAAATATAAAAAATAAAACATGTCAGAAGTGGGGTTTGAACCCACGCCCTCGTTAGAGGACCAGAACTTGAGTCTGGCGCCTTAGACCACTCGGCCATCCTGACTGTGATGTCCAAGTTTCTCATATAGTTTATATTATCGTTATAACTTTACATCTTCCTGCACGTGTTTCAACGATTGCCATATGAGTCCTGACATCCGACTGTGCCTTCGACACGTTCTGAGGCGCCCTTTAACATTATCACAAGCACAACTTGAAAGCTCATTAAAGCCAGCACGACGGCTTTGGGGGCAATGAGGTCTAGCCCCATTGACCGTCCTCTCCCGTGAAGATAATATCAAGGCAAACAGCCGCTCCCGTGAATGTCAATATCAAAGGGAAAAAGAAAACACTAGCTAAGAATGCAATCATTCCTATAGTGCCATTTGATAGCCTGCCATGGGCACAAGAAGCAAGAAAAGTGATCCAGCAAGTCGTACAACGAGCACAAGAAACCAAAGAAGAGTAGAAGACTCGGGCTGTGATTGACATAAGGCCAGTCTCAGTGGGGTTTCATCTCCCAGTTTTTAAGACTCCACCCATATTTTAAAAATAGTGTAGAAGAGTTTCATCCTCATGAAACTCTTTCTACTTCCATGAAACTTTTATCTTCTCTCTCTTCATCAAGACAGTGCCATGTCAGTGTATTTAATGCCCATAAAACTCTATGAAATCCCCATTGAGACTGGCCTAAGATTATGATATGTGTGCACGTGGGCTTAATGTAATGTGTGAATACTTGTTCGTATTTCAATCTTGATGTATGCATCTATGAACATTATGAGATATCAGCATGTGTCATGCGTGAACAAGTATTGGTCAAATTTACAAAAATTTGACTCTCTACAACTTTAGAAGTTGATTTATTTAGGGAAGGGGAGAGTACATGTATAAGAAAAGAATGACCAGGAGTACCAACGTACAAGACAAACTTTTGTCACAATCATATCACATACTACATCAATGGCAATTTAGTATTTTCATGTATCAATTAACAAAGTTGGCTAATAGAATAGACGGAAGTGTTAGGTACATAACGAAATTTGGAGCTAGTCTCAAATGGGGAACTCTAAATTTCTTTTAGGGTCATGGAAAGAACAAGGAGATTGCCTACCAGTGTCATATAGGGAATTTTCTTTTTAACATCACGGGAAGAAAAAAAAACAACCAATGCTAAAGGTGTTTTTCTCCCACAAGGCGTATATGTACCTGCTTACTTGACTTTTTGAAATAGTGTCATTGACGTTTGTATGATGCTTTTCAAAGATCTACCCATTTTGCTTTTGGAAAAAGTCCAAATTACTCCCCCAAGTTTTGCCTATGTCTAGATAACCCTATAAACTAACATTTGGTTCAATTTACTCCCTCAAACTATTTCCTTTGGTCTAGTTTACCTTTTAATAAGTTTTGTTATTTTTGTTTCTCCATGTATAAGTTGAGTTTTAATATCAAATCATGTGGAGTAATAAAGGACATCATAAGTTATGTTAGAAAAATATATCTTAAGTTTTGCCACTATTTTGATAGCTTAGGAAATTTAATATTAAATAAACACTAGAGATACAATATCGTACAAAACTATAATGATGAAAAAATTTATAATGTATTTTTATAACAGAAAATATGATGTCCCTACCACCACACAAAATTTGAAACTAAAACACAATTTGGACATAGAGAAATAAAAAGAAAAATTTTTTTAAGGTGTAAATTGGATCATCTTAAATAGTTGGAGTAAATAATTAAACTAAATGTTAGCTTAGGGGGTTATATGGACATAGGCCAGAACTCCTAACAAACTAAGATCTACCCATTCAGTCTTACACCATGTTGACAGGATGAGAAAACAAAGGCCAAAAAAGAAGAGAAAGGTGAGCTTACGAGGACAATAACACATGATGGCGTTGATTACCCACTCCACCATACACAACCAAATCATGAGTCATCCTACATGATGAGTGCCGACACGACAGGTAAGGTCTTGGTCACCAAAAAGCGCTGTTCTCTTTCCCTTCATATCTTCTTGTTAACCCACATAAAACTTAACCTCTTTTTTTTTTAACCAGCAAAAGCTACTTCTATTCTATACCTATATTATTTATGTTAAGTAATGGGTTGCTCCAACTTGATGTGTGGTTGCACAGTTCATTTCCCTATTGTATACAGTCTACAGGTGTCGAGTACATGTTTTTATATCGTACCACACTAGATATTTGGAATACGTGACTATCACTAAGTTTGCATTAATTGAAATTAATTTCATGGTGGATCAATTGAAATCAATTTAAGTTTGCATTATTATAAATGCGGTCAAAATTTGAGAAGTTTGATTTAGGAAAAAATGGCATAAAACAAAGGATGATATACTCTTTAAAATAAAGGAGGATATGGATTAAGTGACAAACCGAGCCCCTCACAAGAATGTTAGGTTCAGAATCAATAATAGGAAATTTCAACCTTATTCTAGAGAGAATCTAGCTAAAGCTATGATTTTTAGTATAAATAGCATATGCACCTTTTCCTTCTTGAACGTAAGGCTCAACAAAACTATTCCTATATGACATATGAAGGCGTATGCAATGTTGAGAAATAGTGAAAAATATGGATTTTTTTTTAAAGTCAACAAATTTAAGTACAAACTATTGTTTTACCCTACTTTAAATGCATTTGGATAAGGGGAGAGGTGAGTTAAAGCATTAACATAGAGAGGGTAATAGGAACGTGGGTATTGAAGTTTGGAGGTAGGAGTGTATTTGTTTTTGCAGGAATATGAGGTTTGGTGAGACAGGAAATGAGAGTTTAGATGGGCAACTGACATTGGGGGAGGAATAGTAGGGCGCGTTTTGTTTCTCAGGGACACTTGCCTCACCCCGCCGGCACGGACTCCAAAAGACTCGCCCAGCCGAGCGAGCCGGATGCGCTCTCCGACTGTGGCATAGCTTGCACGGGAACCGAGATAACCAGCAAGAGAACCAAACACATTCACTTGCTCAACATCGTCGCTCAGCGAGGCTAGGCGAGCCTGAGCAGAAGAACCAAACGTGCCCGTAATTGAGTGGGAATTGTGTTTGAAAATGGATATATCCTCACCATTCATTATGACTTGCAATATAATTTTCTACTCAAAAGTTTCACACCAAACAAAAGAAATAAATTGCCTCTTAAACTTTCCTTCTTATTTCTCTACACGAACTAAACAGAGTACTGCCACTAAAATTCAAATCCTCATCTTAATTTCTACTAGTAATTCCCGTACCCGCAGCCTATGTAATTCCCTCCCGACGCGCCAGGAGGAACCGTGGAATTTTGTGTGGACGCGAAGCCAAATATTTGGAACCTCCAACTCTCCAAGGCGTCATATTTTCTTTTTTCAAAAAAAAAAAAAACTCTCCAAGGCGTCAGTCAAAGCGAAATGCCTCGTCCCGTCCACTCCCGTCCCGGCGCATCATCATGTCATGTGGCAGCAGCATGGGCAGGTAACGCCGCCGCCTCAGCTGAATCCTCCCTCGTAGATTCCTAATCCCCCCCCAATCCCAGCCCGACACCCGCGTCCACGGCGGAATCCCATTCCGATTCCTCCCTCCCCGCCTCCCCTCTCGCCGTAGGGGCCGGGGGGCTAGGGTTCGTCGCGTCACCGCCGGCCTCCTCCGACGCGGCACCGACCCCCCCGTGCCGCGTACCGGGCCCGGCCGGATGCTGTGCTGCTGAGCTGCAGGTCCCTCTCCACCTGGGTGCGCCGCCTCGTCGCTTGCATGGGGTGCGTCGTGCGTGCGCCCCGCCGCCCCCTCCCTTCCCATCCCGTCCTTCGGTACACGTCACGGTGTAGTAGTGGCCGCCGTGAGGCTCCCCGCGCGCGATGCGATAGCGAGGTTCTAGACTTCTGTGCTTCTGTTCGGGGCACATATATGCTTGCTGCTCCCTGATTCAGATGGTTGAGCTCGTGATTCTGATTGGTAGGCTGGTTTGGTTTATCCTTTTCTCAGTTTTCCTGTTTAGCCAGTTGATTCCGTCGCGTTAGGTGTACTAGTATCTTACTGTTGTTTAATCTGCCTGGTCTATTTCTGGTATAAAAGATATGCATTTGTCTGACTTTGGTACCAGGCCTCTGTATGAAAAATATTCAGTCTCTCGCTGCTGAGTTCACGGAGTGATAGTTGATTGGTAGTTTACTGCAACCATCTATCGGGTCACAAATGGTCATAACTTTGGCCTTTTTCGCTTTTGTATGTATGTAATACAAGAATAGAGTACATCATAGCTTATCTGGGCTCTCGAATACTGGTGCTAATCAATCACTGGCCGATACTGGTTTGCTACAGTGCAGAGGTTGCTTTGGATGCTGGGCTAAGCCAACTCCAATAACGGCAGTAGACGAGCCTTCCAAACGGTTGAGGATCCAGGGGCGCTCGGTGAGGAAGGCTAGCCTGTCGGAGGACTTTTGGAGCACGAGTGCTCATGAGATGGAGAACAGCGGGATCCAATCGCAGAGGAGCTTGTCTTCGATCAGCACAGTGGCTCAGTCCAGCGATCAGCACGCGGCGGGAAGTAGCAGCAACCCGAATGAGTTTGTGAATCAAGGTGAATCCATCTGTTTGATTTCCTCTTTGCCTTATTGATCCACCCTGTTAGGGCATGTTTGGAATGCATGAATAAAAAACACGGGAATAGGAAAAATTGTAGGAATGGGGTGAGTGTGTAGTGGTAAAACAGAGGAAAGGAAGGGGTGTTTGGAACGCAGGAATCTATAACACAGGAAAAACGCAGGAAGTAACAAAGAAAAAAAAATAGCAACATGCTTCACTTGGGTTAGCTGAAATGTTTGGGTCACTGACAACCTGACAGACTGCGGTACGCCCCCTTCTTTCCTGTTTTCTTCACGGGCAGTGCATCGGGCATACGCAAAGGAAAGGAAACCAAGAGATCCCGGTAGATTTTTTATTTCCTGTGAAATGAGCATCCAACTACAGTAAAATGGAGGAAAGGAATCGATTCTTCCTGTGTTCCAAACACTCCAGTCAACTTCCTTTCCTTTGGTTTTAGTTCCTACGATTTTCCTTCAAAAATCCTTTGTTCCAAACGCCCCCTTAGTGTCATATAATGTCAAATAGTTCAAGTCTCTGACTGATTGTTGGAGCTCCATCATCCATGTGAATGGAAACCAAGTTTGAATGTCCAATGTTTGTGCTCTTGAATATATAGCGGTTGAGGTTCTAACTTCTCAGTAAAAGCTACAAACTATGATTGAAAAAGGTCTTTGCTTTATGTTCTAATCCTTATCAGTCTCAAAGTTGACATTGGATGATTCTGCATATGAATTTGTAGAAAGCCAATGACGTAAACCAGCAAAAGCCTCTATCTTGTTGAAGTACACTTCTCTGTTCTATATATGGCTTAATGTTCAAATCCTGATCAGTTTCAAATTTGGCGTGAGATGATTCTCAGGTTCTGCAAACGCATCTGTGGGAATATGGTTTGAGAGGATTATCAGGTTCTACAAACGCATCTGTGGGAATATGGTTATGTAAATCAGCAATAACATCTATGGTGTCAACATTATACACTTATAATAATACTTTATAGAGAGCTTACTGACAGTAAATTCACAACTACAGTGATCTGGCAAGATTCCTTAAGAATATTGATGACTAAACTACTTTGTAGCGTTTTCTTTTCCAAAGAAGAAGAGGGAACCCTACTTTGTAGCATGCCCAGTCGTTATTAAGAAGTGAATGTTTTCCATTTATTTTTGTTCTTTGTTGATCTTTTTTGAATTTCGTACTGCCTATTTTTCAGGCCTTATGCTCTGGAACCAGATGAGACAACAGTGGGTTGGAAGCAAAAAGCGCCACTCTAGATCTCAACAGCCTCGAGAACCAAAATTAAGGTGAATATTTTGTGATTTTCTTCTATCACACCGTAACTAGTGGGTTCCCTTGAGTTTCCTATTGTGAACCAAAATAGCATTATATTATTTGATATTTCTTAGCTTGTAAGAATTTTTTTCACGGTGCTTGCTTCAGTGAAGTAGGTGCATCAGTGTTCCAAAAGCAGACTAGATTTCCTCCATAATCTGCATTTTTCTTTTAATGGCGTACAGTTGGAACACGACGTATGAGAGTCTGCTAGGAAGCAATAAGCCATTCTCCCAACCAATACCTCTTGGTGTAAGATCCCATGCTTTATTACTTGTCTTGTTTGCCTCAAAACTTTCCTAAGCTGAACTTATGCTCGCAGGAAATGGTAGATTTGCTTGTGGACGCTTGGGAGCAAGAAGGCCTTTATGATTAGGCCTGTGGAGTTCATTGTTTGACTCAGATTAATCGCTTAAATGTATTTGGAACTTCAGATGTGCAGAAGCTCTAGGTTCTTGAAAGCGTTACATTTCCCGACCCCAATGGTGTACCCTGAATATCATATCATGAAACATGGCAGCGTCCTTATGTTAAGCAATTGTAATATATTATTCATGTCAAGCTTATGAGAACATTAGATGATATTGTACCTGGTGTTTTATATGAAAACTTGATTTGGATGATCTAGGCAACTGGACTAAAAAAAAAAATGGGCATGCCTTGGTGCAAGTGCAATCTGCAATGAGAAGTGAAATTAATGAGAAACAAAAAAAAATGTGTGAAGTTATTGCCCACTTTGTGAAGCAAATGCCGGTTATGGCCATGCTAGTTGATGAAAGTAGGTTGCCGCACCTTCTTTTTATTTTCGAAGATTTTTTTTTATTTTCGAGGAAAAGTTAGTTCAGTACAAAGGATAAAAAAAAAACTCCCCTGATTACATGCACGTAGCAGCATTGCCAGCATTGCTACAATTACTAAAATGTGAGACGCCAAGGCGATCCATTTTAGTACAACTCAGGATTCTATGGCACTAATAACTCAGATGGAAAAGTTATAAACATGATCGCATACAGAACTGAAATAATCACCATTAAGGAAACATAACCGTTGTATCAATTAAGGAGCATGGAAGATACCGCTGGTGAGGCACTGATTATGTCCCAAAAAATCACATCACATCAAAGGGTATGAGTTTAGATGGTCGCAGCACGTCAACGAATTTGAAGTTCAAGCACTCAAGGTATGTCATTATACCAAACAAATATAACTACGAAAGACTCGTGACCTTCAAACAAAATGGTAGGACAAGAATATCTAATCATGGTTTTGCCCTGACCCTGATTGTGCAATAGAGAACTTCTGCTCACGGACCTGGGAAGTCAAGCTTGTGACAAGGATCAAACCATTGGCCTCCATCAGTCAACGGCTTACGTTCCTGCCAGTAGAGATGTGACTGGTCCTTCAAATTATCATTCAAGAAACTTGCTTCTAGTGGTGTAGTATCATTCAAGAAACTTGCTTCTGGTGGTGTATTATAGAAACTTGCTCCTAGTGGTGTATCAGGGATCCCAGGATCAGAAAAACTAGCAACTGGATAACACTGGCCGAGATTGAAAACAGCATCTGAACCTATAAACAACAAAAGTAAGCCTTGCATAACAAATTCACGATATTGTGATGATAGAAAGCATGTAAGCACACTTATACCTGAAGATAAGTTTGAAGCTTGAATTTTAGTAATCGGACAGCCCTCATGTTCAGAGTTACCAAAGACTGAAGAAGAATGCATCATAGGGTATACCATTGGAATCGGTATTTCAAAAGATCTTCCAGACTTTGTGGGGTCATCAAGTATATCACTGTTGTGAACGTTTGCACCCAGCAGACCAGTGGTTTGTAACGAGATGGATTCTGGAGATTGAATGATATGTTGTTCCATAGAAGCCGAAGGACATTGAAGCAACCAGTCATTACTTAGGGTAAGCTGGAACTTTGGAATGAAGGGAGCTCGACTGGATAGTCACTGGCAATGGCCCTACCAAGAGGCACCGACTGACTCTTTGTCAATACAAAGTTCAAATCAGTGGAACAAAAGGTTTTATCAATCTCATCAGGAATTTGCAGACTACCAGTAGATGCATAGCGTTTCAAAGGTTTTGTTGGAACCACTGGATCCTTGTCATAGTCAAGGTGCTGAAATGTCATTACCTCATCTATAAGATCATGCATATCAACAGCCTTTTCTTTTGCATACTCATTTAACTGTTTCTTGCCATGTGACTCTCCAGGAGTTTCACAGTTCATGTCTTGATGCGGATGCATAACCTGAGAAAGCATATATTCTGGATAGATAGGCAAACCATGTCTCTGATTCCTCTTCAATCTGGTATTCCAATAGTTTTTAATTTCATTATCTGTGCGACCAGGCAACTGAAATAAACACAATACATTAGTGTCTATCAAGGCCCAATTGAATTAGTAAAAATGTTTTTCAAATTTAAGGAACAATTACTGTGAGAAGATTAAAAAAAAAGATTTTAACAAGAAATGCTTTCAAAAAACAAACAATAGAAACGACACAAATGAAATCAGAACAGTCAAAAGTAGCATCAAAATTCAACATCTACTACCCATAACTAGCCATGGAATAGTTATATAAAGTGACTATTGTCCACGTTTAACTACAATCAACATCTACTACCATACAATCATACATGCAACATCAACAGTTCCCTTCCATATACTCATCAACTAATGCATACTAGGGCAGCTTCAGTGCTGGAACGAACCGTCAATTCCACGTGAGACGAACAGATGTTTTGTTCAATAGCCCCAGTGCATCATCCGATTAGTGGGAACCGCATACATACACAATAAAATAAATTCTCTCTTCCTCACGTGGCTCTGTCTGCACCTTGACGCTCTCATCGAATCCCATTCTTCCTCTACCCGCTTGTCCAGTCACAAACCCAATCAATTGACGTGCTTTGGAGAGCCATGGTCGACTCCCGTGCGGCACTCAAGTGGCCCACGCTCGCTCTCCTGCTGGGCAGCGTGATGCTTGCCATGGCATCGGAGGGCACAGGCCGCACACAGTAGTGATGGCCCCTCCCGTGTGGTTGTCAAAGGCGCTTGGAGCTCTGACATCAGCTCTGAGTGGGTCTAGGACTCAGGGCTGGAGAAGAAACTGAGGGAACAGCAGCAGAGGAGAAGCAGCATTGTGCAGGTTTTGCTACTTCTTGTTATTAACAATTTTTTGACCAATTTCTTACCCTCATCTAGATCTTATTTTGTTCATGGGGCGGTGGGTAGAACAGGCACCAAGATCTTCGTGGTCACGCATATCCCCAACGTGTGATGGACACCTCTGAACACAGTGGCATCCTTCCCCAAAGCCAGGTATGGTGACCTCAAGTCTATCCCCTCAGTGCACTAAACCATAGGGAAGGAACAGTGAGCGCTCATGGTGAATTTTTTTTATTCCTAGCATTGAACAGTGTTGGGAGGTCAATTTCTGCCTGACAGCTGTAGTCAACTCGTCCAATGTGCAAAGTTCTGTTGTGCAGCCCATGGTTCAATTTTCAACAACACGGGAGCTGCTCTTAGAATCTTTACCTGATAGAGGCTCAATTTGTTAACACACACCCTTAGAAGGACAAGTAAACCAATAGGTGATATTTGACCACGAACCAATAGGTGATATTTGACCACGCATATCAAGTTTGTAAGGCAACAGCTACCAAGGTCCGAGGCATGTGCCATGATCAAAATACACAGGAAAGATGAACATCAACATCAAGTGTGGCATCCTGAAAAGCACCTGCACTAACAATGGCACTGACATTTTAAAGGTTACGTAAGGTAATATCTGGTAAGAGATCAAAACAACCTGAAAAGTACGTGACCACCATTGAAGAGTTAAAAGATATGATAACTACACATGCTCTAAAGCATATGGGAATACTAGAGTACTAAGTAACCTATTAAAGGATAGTGCAGGGGGGAAAAGCAAACGATGAATTGTCTATGCAGAAATGCAAAGGTGAGGATAATGACTACAGAGCAGATGTTGCTAAAATGTGAAGGAAAATAAATAGAAATTGATGAAGCCATCTAGGAGCAGCAGAAAAGCAACAGGTCCAACATGATAGCCTCTTATTCCAAAGCAAGCTGGGTTAGGCTAGAGATGGAACTCAACATTAGCTACCAGAAAAAGTTCTCAATGCACTGTACCAATCCTGTCCACCTGTAAAATGCAGCCTCAAAAGTTGAAACCACTTCTACATATATTGTTCAGTAGTCACTGGATTAAAATTTTATATATTTAAAGTTTTGCCAGTTTAACCATATCGATGACAACATTTTATCACATTGCTTACAGGCTTAACTTTCATAATATTTTGGCGCTCTATAGTACCCAATGAAATTACTTATGTTGCTTCAGTTGGGTGGGTAGGGGCCCCAAATGCAGTTAATGTAATAAGGCAACAGAGAAATTGTTTCTTTGGTAAAATAGTGAAGCAAAAAATTCGTCATGATTCTATCATCAGCAAGAGGCATTAAAATAAGATGGCCATTATCTAATTTCATTTGGTTTAATAACAGAATTTCATTCTCATGGCCACAATAACAAAAAAAATGCCTGTGCCAGTTGCAAGATAGAGAATTAGCACTTAAGTTCAGTGTTTCTTTTAAAAATAATTTAAGTTCACCAATAAGATAATTATTACTTCCCTACAAGGCTACAACCAAGGCCTTAATGCTGTTACCTTTCTATAACTGATTGATAAATCTGTAATACAAACATAATAAGTGATCTTTTGAGCACATTGAAACAAATGGAACAAATAGTTTGCCTTGAGCAATGAGCATGCACAAGAAGAGAAGCATAAATGTCTACTGCTAGCATGTATGTTGTCTGAAACTCTGAATATGTTAGCATGTGGCAAATACATGCAATATTTGGGGGAAATCAACATAATTCTATGAGATGGATTCGCAAAGCAGATCGATTCCAGGATGCAGGGAGCACGTTCCCACTGCACCAAAGCAAAGCATGTCATTCCCGACCTTTCTATGAACTAATCTAAATGTTACCACGAGACAGCACAACCAACGCAGGAAGGAAGCAGGAAAACAGCAGGAGAACGGCGAGCGCAGCACTCACATGCGAGGCCATCTTGGCCCACTTGTTGCCCCACATGATGTGGAACCTGATGATCTTGTCGACCTCCTCAGCGTCGAAGGGCCCCTTCTTGAGATTGGGCCTGAGGTGGTTGGCCCAGCGGAGGCGGCAGCTCTTGCCGCAGCGGTTGAGCCCGGCGTTCCGCTGCACCTCGTTCCAGTTCCCCTCGCCGTGCGCCTCGACGTAGCTCTTGAGACGCTTGTCCTCGTCGGGCGTCCAGGGGCCCTTCTTCAGCTCGGGCACGCCGCCGCCGCTGGGGATCTCGTAGTCCCCGTCGCTGTCGGTCTCGTCGTCTTCGTCGTCGCCGTCCTCATCGTCGGGCGAGACGTACCCCGTCTCGGCCTCATCGTCCAGTGGAGGGTTCTCTCCAACCAGCGCAGGGTTCTCGTCCACCTTCGCCACCTCCTCCACCTTCACCACCGTCATTTTGATCTTCGAAGGCAACTCGGTTGTCGTCCTCCGAAAGCTGGAGCTCCTTTAATCTACTGCAAGGAATTAAGCGAACCCAGCGAACTCATCAGTAAATTAAGCGAACCGATCTGCAGCATTTGCGCACGCAACCCCATCTGCAGCAATTGCCTACCCGACCAATCCGATCTAATCCAATAGAATAAATCTAGTACTAATTTGAACAGGGGAGTGAGAGTCTTTGATCTAATCCAATCAAATAAAACTAGTACTAATCTGAACAGGGAGGTGAGAGTCTTGGTCCGGACTAGAACAGTATACCATGTATAGTAGGCGGCGTTCGTCGGAGCAGATCAAACTCCGGTGGGCAGTGGAGGCCGTGGCGGGGAGGGGAGGCCCGTGGCGGAGGCGGAGAAGGTGAGAAGGGACAGAGAATGGTTTGGAGAGTACGGCGGCTGCGAGGTGGACTGCTCCCCTCTGTAGTACGGTAACGAGGGCGTGTTTGGAGCGTTGGCCCGTCGGCCTGGCTGCTCGCAGCGCGCGTGTTTGATGTCGTCGACTCCTGGCTCGCCGGATGCATTTCGGTCCCCTCGGTCTGGCTGTAGGGAAACGCTTCCCCCCTCGTTTTTTAGGGCATGGCCGCGCGCGGCTCCTCTCGGACGATTTCAGGGTGATTCGTGGCGGTGGCGGCTGGCTCGCGCGGAAAGTGTGAAATCTCCGCGTGCGCTACCGCTACCAGTAAAATCCCCCGCCTTTATAAGCGGCCTCTCCCTCGGCGAGCTCCCCTCCTTCGTCTCCATTGTTTCTCCACCAAATCCCGTGAGAGACCGGTGGTGTGTTGAGGTGTGGTGTCCGGCGAGGCGGCGTTCTTTTTCGGCAGTTTCCTCTCCGTTCCCTCGACCCGGATCTGGTCGGGCCCGGCGTCGCACCTTGTTCCTAGCTGAGACTCCGGGAGGCGGTTGTCCTTTTCCTTCGTCTTTCTTGGTTCCGGTGGTGCGCGTGGTGGTGCTATGTACCGGATCTGCTTCTTCTTCGTCGCCTCTTCTTCTTTTCTCGTTGTTTGCTTCGCGTTTGCTCCGTCGACCACCCCGAGGTGAAATCCACCTCCAATGGACCTACTCTTTGATTTGGATGATGCTAGGGTTTCGTTGTACCTGTACAAGGTGCTGTCTTTGTGGCTTATCTGAGCTTTTGGTGCCGGTTGCTTTGTTATGCGATGTTGGATTTAGGGTTTGCCTTGAACTGTTGTTAGTGTTTTTACTTCATTATGGTTTCATGCTTGTTTGTTTACCTGTTATTATAGTCGATGATGATGTCTATTGCACTGGGAGGTATGTTCTATCATGCAGCCATGCCTACTTTTGTTGTTGAATGATTACACATCCATGTTGAGGCCAGCCAGGGTCTACCAGATCTGCTTCCTCTCCGTCGGGATCTGCTTCTTCTTCGTCGCCTCGTCTTCTTCTTCTCCATTGTTTGCTTCGCGTTTGCTCCGTCGACCACCCCGAGGTGAAATCCACCTCCAATGGACTTACTCTTTGATTTGGATGATGCTAGGGTTTCGTTGTACTTGTACAAGGTGCTGTCTTTGCGGCTTATCTGAGATTTTGGTGCCGGTTGCTTTGTTATGCGATGTTGGATTTAGGATTTGCCTTGAACGGTTGTTACTGTTCTTACTTTATTATGGTTTCATACTGTTTGTTTACCTGTTATTATGGTCGATGATGATGTCTATTGCACTGGGAGGTATGTTCTATCATGCAGCCGTGCCTACTTTTGTTGTTGAATGATTACACATCCATGTTGAGGCCAGCCAGGGTCAAATGAACTATGTTTGTCTTGAATGTTCATGCATGTAGATGGATCCGGCCTAAAACCGTGAGCTGATGGCAATGTTTTCCTAAACGGTAAACGGTTTTTACATGATTGTCCTTCGTTTAGCGTTTAGACTGTTTACACGGCGTTTAAACAAAGTTAAACGGTCTAAACGGTTTTATACTTTAAAAAAAATACATATAATTATATATGTGCATGTAAAAAAATCAAGTATTCTAGCATTTATACATATTTATCCGAGTAAAAATCAATTATTTTGGTATGTATATATATTTATGCATGTGAAAAGAACCAAATATAGATATTTATGGATGTAACATATCAAGTGTACACATTTATAAATATAATAAACTTAAGTATATAAATTTATCCATATAAAACTGAACTAGATTTATCTCGTGTTCGCCTAAACAGCCGTTTAAACAGCTGTTTAGCCCGTTTAATACTGTTTATCTCCGTTCCGTTTAGACCGTTTTTCCTTTTTTGACCGTTTAATTTTCGTTTACTCCCTAAACAAAATAGTTTACCATCGTTTACCGTTTACTGGCCGTTTAGGCCATTTAGGCGAACACTGCCTGATGGCCAATCAAGCTGCTGCCTTGGTAGTTGTTATGGTGTCTTATGTTGTCACTAGGCTTAGGAGCACTGTTGTATCATCTTAGGAGTGATGCTGAGCAGCATAGGAAGCAGACCCTGCAAGCCATTTACAACTCCACAGATGCAGAGTGTCTGTCCATGTTAAGGATGACCAGAGCTCATTTTTATGCTTTGTGTAACCTGTTTAGAAATAGGGGGCTTGTACCAGAAAAGGCTGGGTGCATAGTTGAGGAGTAGGTTGCTATGTTCCTCCATTTAGTTGGACACAACCAAAGATTTATGGTGGTTCATCAATCCTTTAGGAGGTCAATTGAGACTGTCCATAGGCACTTCCACCAGGTTTTGTATGCTATTGGTGAGCTTAGAAGTGAAATGATTAAGTCTCCTACACCAGGCATATATCCAAAGATCCTTGAGAGCCATAGATGGAACCCTTAAATGCAGGTAACTGTATATTTAACTGTTAAGCCATAACTCACCGTAGGTGTGAACCAATGCACTTATCCCACTTACACCTTTTTTTGGACTGTATTGGTGCCATTAATGGCACCCATGTGTTGGCTAGGGTGCCTGGACACATGCAGTAGGCTTTCAGGGGTAGGAAAGCAAACCCCACTCAAAATGTGATGGCTGCTGTGGACTTTGACCTAAAGTTCACTTATGTATTGGCTGGCTGGAAGGGCTCAGCACATGATGTCCTCATCCTTGCTGATGCCATTGAGAGAAACGATGGGTTCATTTTGCCTAAAGGTAACTGAAACCAACTGTCCACTAAACTTATGTCCTTACCATGTCATAGACATTCACCAATAGCATCTTTGGTGCACTTATAGGTAAATTCTACCTTGTAGATGCAGGGCATGCCTACCACAGTGGCTTCCTCCCTCCCTATAGGGGGGTGAGGTACCATCTGTCTGAGTATGACAACAGAAACCACCCAACTAATGCAAGGGAATTGTTGTAACACCTCTGATGTTTTGACCTAATACTAAAATTTGACATGTCATCATGTGCATTGCAAAGCATTCATATAGTATAAAGTTTTGAATGCATTCACTAAATAAGGTTTATTTCATAATGTTGTTATTTCATGTGATGTGTTTCAAAAACCTTAAACAAAGATCATGACCACAAGGGTCAAATTTCATGTGTTCATGTGAGGCCATGTGTCATCTGACTCAAATAACCCTAATTGGCCATGTTACTGGTCAAAAATCAAAATCTAAGTAAAAGGAAGACAAATCAAATTTGAATTCATTTTCAAATTATAAAAGTCCTTTTTGCCCCTTTTGACTAATTCAAAATCCATGAGGAATTTGGGGTTGAGGCAAAAAGCAAAGTTGGAGATTATTTTATGTAGATCAACTTTGGTATTCAAAGTTTTTTAAGATTACATATAAAATTTGGAGTAATTTTGAAATGATTCAAATCTTTAAATGTACCCCAAATTTGAATTTCGAAATGGAGGCAGAATTTGAAAATGTTTCTTAAACCAAAGTTGTAGTACTTGAAAAGTTGAGCAACTTTCATTTTTGGAGATTTTCAACTTCTTTAGAAAATTTGGGAGTAATTTGAATAATGGAAGCAGTGGCAGTTCTGTAATTATTTCAAAAAAATCAACTCCACCTCACCGCTTGCCCCTGGCGCCACGCAGAGGTCGCCGCCGATCGGGTTTCACCGCTTTCACGTGCAATGACACGCCCAAACCTCCGTGGCGGAGTTCGCCTGTGTCTTTGTCATCACCGTCGCCCTCCATCTTGCTATAAATAGGAGTACACCGTCATCGAATCGAATTTTTCGCGTCGATTTGCTGCCGCGCCGATGTCTTGCTGCTCAAGCTCGCGCAATTCGCTCTCGACGTAGTGCCTAGGGCCAATTGCTTTGGCTAGAAGCTCCGCCTCGTCTTCTTGCTTCTCCCAAGCCTGATCGTGTCGCTCCCGGAAGTCCAGCCGCCACCGCGTGGCGTCGTCTTCCCGAGTCCGTGGAGAGCTCGCCATTCTCGGTTTCACGTGGTCCCGTCGATCCAAAGGTCGTCTCTACCTTCACCGAGTCTACCTCACGTGATCACGGTGAGCTCCTGAATGTGAAGACCGTTTCGCTTTAGTCCCTACTGCACCGTCACCATGGTTACGCCGTTCACCGACGTGCTCAGCCGCCATGCTCGGCGTGGAAGTGTCTCCTGTGCACCTTGTTCCTTCCTGATAGCTGAGTTCGGTTCGGGGAATGTAGTAGATCGTTTTGGTGAAGTCTGTTTCACCGGAGAGTCACCACCGGCGCGTTTTGTGGCCGGTCAGTGAGGGTAGCGCCACCGTGGTTGTTGCTTGAGTCATCATTGACAATTAAATTCACTGTCAATGCAGTGAGGAAGAAGAAACGAAAGAAAATTTTATTTTCCTCGAATTTGTGAATAGTAATCAATCTTTGGAAATTTGTAGAAAAATAATCATAGCTCCAAAAATTCTGAAATTTTTGTGTAGCTTCTGTACATGTTCTAGTATGATTTAAAAATTTGAAATTTGAAATTTGGATAAATTTTAATGTTCAAAAATTCAGTCAATTAATTAATAAATGCAATTTCCATGATT